AGTATTGTTATTTGCTGCTGACATGATACTCTATATAAAAGACAACAAAAACTCTACCAAAAGACTCCTAGATTTAATAACCAAATTCAGTTGTGTGGCAAGATACAAACACTCCAAAATAAAAGCTTTGCTACACACATAATAAATTCACTGAGAGAGAAATTAGAGAAACAAAACCTTTCACAAAAGCATCAATAAAAATGAGATACTTGGGAGTTAATCTAATGAAGGAAGTGAAAGAGCTGTACACTGAAAGCTACAATACTCTGCAAAAGGAGACCTAAGAGAATATCAGAAAATGGAAACATTTCCCAAACTAGTAAAAATGGCCATACTTCTAAAACTGTTATACAGACTTAATGTAATTTCAATCAAAATACACACAGCATACCTCAGAGAAATAAAGAAAACAGTCCTAAAATGCATATGGAACCATAGAAGATCTAGAATAGCAAAGCCACTTCTGGACAACAAGGAAAAGGCAGATGGTACCCCAACCCCTGATTTGAAGTTATACTACAAAGCTACCATGATAAAAACAGCATGATACTGAGAGGGAAATAAACATCTGAGGATCAATGGGACAGGAAAGAAGATGTTGAAACAACTCCAAGCATATTCAGTTACCTTATCTTTGACAAAAGGACCAAAAGCCTTCATTGGAAGAAAGATAGCATCTTTATAAATAGTGCTGAGAAAACTGGCTTTCCACATGCAGAAAACCAACCTAGACTCATATCTCTCATCATGCACTAAACTAAAATCAAAGCAGACCAAAGATCTACATTTCAAAACAGGAACTTTTTTTTTTTTTTTTTTTTTTGGTCTGTTTCCTTTTTATCGGTACCGGGGATCGAACTCACGACTGCCTCCTTACAAGGCAGGTGCTTATGCTGCTGAGCTAATCCCCAGCCCCAACACAGGAACATTTAATGTGTTGAAATGTAGAATAGGTAAGACTCTAGAAAACACAGGAATAGGCAAAGACAAAGCCCTCATGCACAGGAAATATTACAAATATTGAACAACCAGGATCACAAATTAAAAAGCTTTTAGCACAGGAAAAGAATCCACTAAAAGAGGGAAGAGACAACCCAGAGAATGGCAAAAAAATTTACCAACTACTCCCCGGACACAGCACAAAAATCTAGAATATCTAATGAACTTTAAAAAATTCAGGTTCTCCCAAATTTAAAAGCCCAACCCAAAAATGGACATCTGAAATGAATATCTGTTTCTCAGATGAAGAAGTATAAACAGCAACTAAATGTATAAAAAATTGCTCAACATCACTGGTCATTCAAGAAATGCAAATTAAAACAACACTGATATTCCATTTCACCCCAGAAAGACTGGCTATCATCAAGAAATCAACCAATAACAAATGCTGACAAGATTGTGGGAAAAAGGAATGCTTTTCCCTTGCTGGGTGGGAGCACATATTGGTACAACCACTGTGGAGGACAGTATGGAAAGTCCATTTGGTCCAGCTATTCCCCTGCTAAGTGTCTTCCTGAAAGAGTTAAAAACATCATACCACAGTGTATAAGCATGTTTACAACAGCACAATTTCTAATACCTAAATCTTAGAAACACCCCACATGCCCATCAAAAGATAAATGGATAAACAAAATGTGATATTTATATATAATAGAGTACTATTCTGTCATAGATAAGGATAAATTTGAATCATTGGTATGAAAGGGGTGCACCTCAAGATTATACTCCTAAGTGAAATAAATTTGACACAAAAGTTTAATTATTGCATTGTTTCCCTGGTATAAGAAATCCAAAGTTTAAATGAGGAGCATGATGGAGAAAAGATATTGGGAAGTAGGAAGAACACGTTTGAATGGGAAGGGAAACCGAGTGTGCTGGCTCTCACCTGTAATCCCAGCACTCGGGGGGCTGAGGCAACTGGATCACTGCAAGTTTGAGGTCAGCCTGGGCTACAAAGTGAGTCCCAGGCTGGCCTGAACTTCATAGTGAAACCCTATCTCAAAAAGACAAAACACAAAAACAAATGAAAAGAGGAACAATAGAAGGGAAGGGGGAAGAGAAAGGAAAAAAAGGGAATGGAAAGAAAAAAGCATGTATAAATGAGGAGGAGTGGGGAATGAAAAAAAAGAATTGAGGTGTTATATACAGATTCTATGATGAATGTGATCAATATGCATGTCAAATATGTACTAATTAAAAGAATAAAGTTTTAAAAAATGGACTTAGTATCTACAATATTCTACTCTACAGTATACAACAGAATAAACATTCTCAGCAGTACATGGGACTTTTTCTAAAACTGACCAAATACTCGTCCATAAAACCTCTTCAAAAAATATAAAAGAGTTAAAATTATGCCATGCATACTATCAGATGATAGTACACTGAAGCAAGAAATCAATAACAAAGAAACCACAGAAATTTTACAAACACCTGGATATTAAATAATACATGTTTGAACACTCAATTGGTCATAGAAATCATCAATCAATGCCTAAAACCTAATAATAATGCCAGTACAACATACCAGCACTTATGAGACACAGTGAAAGCAGTTCTAAGACAGAAGTTTATGGCTGAGAGCACTTACATTAAAAAGAGAGAACTCAGGATTCCAGTGCCATGCACAGGCTGTTGCAGGCTTGGGGAGAGCCAGACTCAACCCTCTCTCTCTGTGAGTTAGCATCATTTGCAGACACAGAGGTAGAGGACTGGCCTCATGGGAGGAGATCCCTGCCCAGAGACCAGCACCATAGGTGGGGAGACCCAGCCCCAAGCCCCTCTCTGTGAATCAGTGCCATTTGAGGACTTTGGAGCTAGAGAACTACAACCTACAGGGAGGAGATTTCCTTCCCCCAGAAACCATATCATTTTCATTGTTTTTTTTTTTTCCCTGTTGGGGTTTATTTTCTTCTGTTTTGTTTATATTAACTCTGATGGCATGTGCAGCTATTTGAAAGATAGCAAGACCTGTTATGGAAGCCATTATGTATTTATTACTGGCTTGTTTTGAGATTCTTTATTGCATTCATTGTTATGTTTTTATTGTTTATATTCTATTATGTTCTGTTCAGTTTTTAATATGTCCAAAGGTGGTATCTGCAGCTATTTTGAAGACAACAAAGGCATTGTGATAACTATTGTTGATTTCAAATGGTTTGGAAGTCCTGTATCACGTATTCTGGTTTATTTTGATTGATTTTATTCTGTTTTATTTTCCTTGGTTTTTTCTCTTTAAAATTAAAATAAATAAATAAAAATAAAAAGGGTGAATTCAAGCAAGTATCCTAATAATATGCCTTACAAAAACAAAAATAGCCCAAATGCAAACCTAGTAAAAGGAAATAATAAGAAGAGAGTGGAAATTAATAAAATTGAGACTTAAAAACAATAAAAAGAATCAATCAAAAAGCTGGTTTTGAGAAAGAATAAAGAAAATAGATACACTTCAGCCAAACTTTACAAAGAAAAAAAAAAAAAACCAGACCCATGTCAATGCCGTTAGTAATGAAAACATGAAATCACAATGTCCACTGCCCAAATCCAAATCATTAGTAACTATTGTAAAAATTGTAATGTTGAAGTGGACAGATTCTAAAACATGTATGAATTAATATAACAAACTGAACCAAGACATAAAAATCCTAAACAATCCAATAACAATGAAATTGAGACAGTAATGAAAACCTATCACTAAAAACAAAAACCCCAAGACCTGGCAGATTCTCTGATAAATTCTATAAAAATTTCAGGGAGGACATACTCCTAAAACTCTTTAATGAAATTAAAAGGGAATGAGAGTTGCCAAACACATTTCTGGAACCTAGCAAGGCTTTGACTTCAAAAACCAGACAAAGACCCATTAAATACAAAGGAATTAACCTAAACATGAAGGGAAAGACCTCTACAATGAAAAATACAGTACTCTAGAAAACAGATATTGAAGAGGACACCAGAAAATGGAAAACTATCCCCTATTCCTGGGTAAACAGAATCAAGATTGCCAAAATGACCCTTCTTTCAAAATTGGTATACAGATTTAGTGCAATCCCAACCAAAACACCAACAGCATTCCTCACAGAACTAGAGAAAGCACTCCTAAATTTTATATGAAATCAGAAGAGACCCAGAACACCAGAAGTAATCCTGGACAACAAAGCAAGCCAGAGATATCACAATCTCAAATAATCAAGTTATATAGTGAATCTAATGACTAAAACAGCATAGTACTGGCAGAGGAATGGATATATGGATCAACAGAACAGAATATAGGGTACAGAAACAACCCCAGGCACATTTAACTATGTCATCTTAGACAAAGGATTTGAAAGTATACACGGGCAAAGATAACCTCTTTAACAATTAATGCTGGAAAAACTGGCTATCCACATGGAGAAGACTGAATTTAGGCCCATATTTCTCTACATTAAAATAAAAATGGATCAAAGATCTAAATATTAAAACACTCTGCTTGAAAATAAAATAGGTAAAGTTCTTAACACATAGGCATAGACAAGGGCTTTCTGAACATGATTCCAACTGCACAAGAAACAACTCTGAGAATTAACAAATAAGATTATATCAAATTAAACAGGTTCTGTATAGCAATAGAAACTGAATTCTAGTGCAATAGAGAAGCAAAAGTACAAAAAGAACAGGTTTATTGAGATGAGGATGTGGGAAGGAGCACACAACCCATGGAGGCTGCGCTGTCTCCTTCAACCGGAATATGGGGGGGGGGGGACATATGTAACCTTTGAGCAGGGGTGGTACTTAGGGCAGGCATTGATAACATGTGATGAGCTGATTGGAATTTTCTTCATGCATAAACAGGAAGGGGAGTTGCAATTAAGGCTGAGGAAGAAGCAGAAAGCCGTAAATGTTCCTGCCTTGGCCTTCTGTCATGTTAGATCAGCTCCATAACCATTCAGTAATTTATTCTAGGGCAAACTCATTTACATGTTTTTATTGTTAGGAAAAAGGTGAAGTCTGTCTCTTACTACTTCCTGCTGAAGGGGGCACTGCATTGGTGTTCAGGAAGGTTGATGGGAGGATGGTTGCTGTCCATGTAGAAGCTGGTACCAGGCATTTCAGGCAGGACAAAGAATTAATCATTGATGAATGCTCACATCCTAGATTGGAAAAACAAAGAGACAAGGTGGTATGAGGAGGCAGGCCACTAATCATATTTAAGGACCCAGGAGAGGCAGAAGGAAAGGTGACTTTGATTTAAATATGTCATTCCATCAGGGGCAATGGTGAGGTAGAATCTGAAAAATAAGTGTGGGGTTAGGAGGAGTTAAGTTATGAGAGGTGATTATTCTCTCATCTGAAAGGGTAAAAGCTAAAAGTGTAGCTAGGTAGGACTTGTCTTTGGTCCAGGAGTTGAGCTGCAAAGAATAAGAGGCATGTGAAATAAAAGGCCTGATGATTGAATCATATTTGGGAAATTACAGAGAGTGTGGGGTGGGCTGTGGCTGTGTCACTATAAGGGAGATGAGAGGCTAGACCCACAGGGATCACATGTTTGACTAAACATCTGAGGGCCGAGAGAACTAAGATAGTTATAATGAAAAATTTTAACCAATAGAATAGAAGGGATCAGAAACCAAATAGGGTAATAAAACATGACCTAGCCTGAAAATTGTGGCTGTGGGGCCTTAGTGAGATGGAAATGGGAGATAGGAGATGAGATGACCTCTCACAATGTGAAGAGTCGGGGGAGTTAGGGTTAGGAGGGCAGCGATTAGCTTGAGTGATGTGGAACCAGTATGGCAGTTCAGTGATCTTGACCTTCCTTGAGGAAGACCATGTATGGACCACTCCATTTTAGTTGTAGTCCTGTTGAAAGACTTGAGGAATAAAGGCTGGACCATTATCTGACTGAACACTCTGAGGTAAACCAAACCTTGGGATGATTTCCTGTAACAGAAGTTTAGTAACTACATCAGCAGTCTCCCTGGTTGAGGGAGATCTAGATAGATATCCTGAGAAAGTACAAACAAAGGTGAGAAGATATTTGAGAGTTTTGTGGTGGGACATGTGTGTAAAATCTGTCAGTCCTGACCAGGGGAGTGTCTGCGAAATTGATGAATAAGATAGAAAGGGGATGGTATTCCTCCCTGAGGAGAGGTTCTACTATAGAGATGACAGCTATAAGTTGTTGAGACCTCAGAGTGTCTGGGTCAGTCTACCTAAACACAAAGGAATCCTGACAATCAGGGTATAAGGAGGATGGTAAAAAGAAAAAAGGCATTTTAAAGATCTATGACTGTAAAGTAAATGGTGGAGGGAGGGATATGATAGAGCATGGTATAAGGGTTTGGCAGCACTGGGTGAATTGGAGTAACAGCATCATTGATTATCCTAAGGTCTTATATCAGATTATAGGACCCACTAGGCTTGAGTACCAGGAGAATGGGAGTATTGTAGGGTGAATGGGTAAGTTTAAGAAAACCATTTCTAAAAGATGCTTGATTATAGGTTTAAATCCATGTAAATGTTTAGGAGCTATAGGATATTGGAGAATGCAAGGAAAAATTGAAGGATCCCTGAGATGAATTAAAATAGGCATGGCATGGGTAGTGTGGGTGGGATTGGAGGTATCCCAAACTATGGGATCAACCAGAAAAGGAGAAAGGGGAGGGGATGGCTTTGCAGTGCACTATGAGGGTGTTTGGAGGACAGAGAGCTGTGGGGAGGGAGAAGGTAAAGGAGAAGTTAAGCTTTTGAAGATCTCTACCTAAAAGAATGTGGGACATGTTGGAATTTTTAGGAAGCCATGGGTAAAGAAGAATCTAGAACAATCTAGAACCTGCATGTTATAGGCCCAGTCTGCAAAGCTGCATGGGTCAGCCATCAATGCCCCCTATAGAGACTGAAGACTTTATACAAGGGCCTGAAAACTCAGGAAGAACACTATACATGGCCCCTATGTCCTTAAGTACAGAGAATGTCTTACCTGAGACCTTCAGTGGGTTTGGGGCTTTGAGAAGGATACCTTAATGGGGGGATGTGGACCCCAAACCCCATCAGTCTTTGGCAACAGGACCAAAGAGATCAGCCAGTGATGAATGCAGTGGTGATAAGATCTTCTGTGAGGGCAAGGAGTTAGAGGATGGCTTACCTGCACTCTGATGGCTAAGACAATCACTATTCCAACGACCTTAAGATTGCAATAGGGGCAAGGCCCCAGAGAAATGCCAGGGTTGGAGCACTCTCTTGCCCAGTATCCTTCTTTGTTGCACTTGAAGCATGGTCCAGAAGAGGCTCAAGCAGCTCCACCTTGTCTCGCTTTACCTGTCTCAGAGCTCAGACTTCTACTGCTAAAAAATACGATTGTTATTTTTCCATTTGATTTTTATCTTTGTTGCTGGGAACAAAAAAGACATATTAAGAAGTGTTTGAGGGCCAAGTTTAGCCTTTTGAGACCTGGCCCACAATGGAAGGTATCTGTTTCCTCCACAGTCACAAGATATCTGATTCTCTGTCCTGGCTACTTAGAGGCTGTAGCCTTATCTGACTGCCTATAATATTTTTAATTGACTTAGCTGCCTGTAGCATTTTTCCTCTGAAGAAGTAACCCAAACTTCCATGAGGGATAATGGACAGAGTCTGATCTGACTTCTTCAGGCTGAAGGGAGTTGAAGTTGTGTAATGGCAATCAGGGATACTCTGTGGAGCTTTTAACTAGTGGCCCTCAGTAACAGCAGGCAGACACACACATTTAAATATCACATACTTTCTCTTATAGGAAAAACACTAAATATAAATAAATTAAAAAGCAAAATAAAAGATAGATAATAGGACATAGGAAGATCAATCTTTTACAAATGGGAAGAAGCCTAAGAGATGGGGAGAGGGAAGTGGGCAGGAAGGGACAGGGGACTTAAAAAGGATTAACATGTGTTATATACATGTATAACTCCCATGATGAATGTAATCATCATGTACATACTGCAAATATGTACTAATATTTAAAGAGAAAGAAACAAAAAATACATGGAGAAAAAAAGGGTAGAAATAATACAGAATTACAGAAAAATAAATGGTAAGAAATCACTGGTTGATAAGTTACATATTGTCATCTTAGAAATAGTTGTTCAGGTTACAAAATTAAAGTATATAAAGTGACATTCAAATAGTGACACTGCCAACAATTCTGTTCAATGATCTAACAAAAACTTAGTAATATGGTTATCAGTCCTACACACTTGTTTTTTATCTTAAAGAGGGTAAGATTAAACATATCACAACAGAACAAAATAGTTCAAAAAGAAACAATTTAAAGAAATACAGATTTCAAAGCAAGTGCACTGGAGATCTTCACTGTCTATATTATTGTCTCTAGTTTTCTTCCAAAGAGTTATCCCCATCTTCGCACACTTTGAATACATACTGCATATTATAGAACTAATCTAATAATTACAAGATGATGAAGGCTTTCTAGGTCTTCAAGATCTGACATTGGGGAAGACAATAGTAACTACCATAATGTCTTTCATTCTCTTTGTAGTAGCTGTCCTTATCTTTACATATGCTGAAATTGAACTTAAGAGACTAGACTAATATCATTCTGATCAGTGAATAATACATTTTATATCATAATGCTACAGAATTAGCATTGGGTTTCTTAGTGTCTCTTCTTCTTCAGAGTATCTGTTCATTACATCTTGCATTATATAATCTGTTTCCGTAAACAGCTTAAAAAATTCTTCCCATGTGTGAATTTCTACATGTATATCTATCCTCTCTGTATTATAGGGAAAAACAAATCATAACAAGACAGTAAAAACAAATTCCTAGAAAAGCATGCAATGAAAAAGACACATAAGACCACAATATTAGGTGATCCTCTGTAGTTACTATGCTTTCTCTTGTTATTTTCAATAGATTTGTCCACATCATCAGGCTTAATATAGTTAAGCATAGTATTACATAGCTATTTTTATAAAAACACAACTTTGAAAACATTGTAGGACTTGACAGTTGTTAATAATCAAAACCGTTATGGATATCTTTTACATCTTGTCATCTTCAGAGTAGTTGCCTCTACTTTTAGACTTGAATCTATCAAGCATACCAAATTCAAATAAAATCAGCCAAGGGAAAACTGTGGTCTAACGAATCAGATTCAAATGAGATCTGTCATAGTAAGACAATGTAAGTAATACAAGATTTCAGTTTAAGTTAATAGGAAATTAAGGATAGTTACCATGGTATAACCTGCTATTTTTGGATCAGGTGTCTGTGCCCTCAAATCTGATATGAGTGGACAGACAAGAACAAAATAAACTCAAACTAAGGAGAGTGATAAGACTACTGTGACTTTTAAATCCTGAAACACTATTAACAATGACCTCTGCCTTTTTTATAGTGTATCAAAGCTATCTATGCTAAAGATTATAGCTTACCGTCTCTGCCTCATGTCCGCTACTCCACTTTACTGCTATAATTTGTCCACCTTACTTCCTCATTCCACTGTCTGCCCTGTTCGTTGAGGCCTCTCTGCCACTGTTGCTGGAATCCTGGTATCCCTTTCTCTCTCTGTCTGGAATGTCCTTCAGCACTCTCTGTAGGGTTGGGCTGGTGCCCATAAGCTCCCACAGTTCCTCCTTGTCTTGGAAACATCTTATTTCTCCATTAATTTTGAGAGAGAGTTTTTCTGGATACATCTGTCTTGGTTGCAAAGTATTTTCTTTCAGGGCTTGGACTATTTCCCCCCAAGCCCTTCTCAATTTGAGAGGTTGTGTTGATAAGTCTGTTGTTATTTTGATAATTTTCCCATTGTAGATAATCTGCTTCTTTTCCATGGCTGCTTTTAGTTTTCTATTCTTTTGGTAGATTTCTAGAATCTTGATTATTATATGTTTGAGTGTAGATCTGTTTTGGTTGTAGGTGGCTGGTGTTCTGTATGCCTCATTTATCTGGATATCATTTCTTTTTCGTATGCTTGGGAAGTTTTCCTTTAATATATCTGTGAATATTTTTTGTAGTTCATTTTTGGTTACCCTTGCTTCCTCACTCACATGCTTCATTCTTTTTTTTGTCTTTTTCCTTTTTATCGGTACCAGGGATTGAATTCACGACTGCCTGCTTGCCAGGCAGGTGCTTATGCCGCTGAGCTAAACCCCCAGCCCCCATGCTTTATTCTTAAGTTATATATCCTTTTGTCATCTTCTAGCCTTTGAATTGTTTCTTTCTGGTTCCTCGTTATTTTTAAGAGGTCTTCTCTTTCAGGATCATATATCATAAATCTCTCTTCAAGTTTTAAAAGGCTAATTTTAGTTTTTGTCAAGGCATTTTGCCAGTTTTCAATGGAGTTTTTAGTTTCCTGGTAATCTCTTTGGATCTGTTTCATGTATTCTAGGTTATGTTTAAATTCTTCATCAGAAGTTTCTCTTTCTTTTCTGATTTCCTCTGTTCTTCCATCTGTTCTCTTGGGTGGGGCTTATCATTTCTTTAATTAATCTCTTTATATCTTGCCTCACTTGGATCAGAGTACAGTTTTAAATTCATCTATGAGGTCATGAAGGTATTTCTTTATTTCAGCTGATGCTGTGTCTAGTATTGGATGGTTACTGTGCTGGTTCTCTTCTGTGTTTACTTCTCCTGGGCTTATTTTCCCAGGTTCAGCAGCTGGAGATTTTTTTATTTCTATTATCATGTTTCTGGTTTCTTTCAGACTGGTGTGTCCTGGGGGTCTCTGGCCCTTTCCGTATTGCTTAGGGTCTTTCTGAAGCGTGCTGACTGGAGTTTTTGCTTCCCTCCACGAGTTGCTGTTATCTGAGGTACAGGCAGGGATGCAGGGATGGTGCAGGCTAGTCTCCAGCCTCTGTGCCAGTCAGGTTGCAAGTTAGGCTGTACCTTATGGACATCACAGAGTCTCGACTATTTTGTATCTGCTTATTAGGTCCCAACCAGAGGCATGCATGGTTCAGCCCCAGCAGACCTTGCCAGTTCTCTCTGCACCAGACGTGACTGACTGATATCACCGTGTGGTAGGGCTGCCCAAATCCCAGTTATCCTCTACCAGACCTCTGTGCACCAGGGGCAACTATCTGATGTCACCGCCATGCCGGCGTCCGTCCAATTTCAAGATGTCCTCCACCAGACCTCTCTGTGCCAGGGGCGACTATCTGACACCACCACGGTGCAGGCTCTGCCCAACTCCAAGATGTCCTCCACCAGTCATCTCTGTGTCACCGTGGTGCCATGCTCTGCCCAATTCCAAGTTATCCTCCAGCCAGGGGCAGCAGCCGCCGGACCCAGTTCCTAGTACTCACCAGGACTCAATGCAGATCTTCCTCTTGGGAGCACTGCACACTGCACTGCTTGTCTTCACTATGTTCCCAGCAAAGCGCAGATCCGTCAGAAAACTGCACAGTGTCCGGCTTCAGAGCTCTAGAGTTTCTCACAATGTCTTCCCGGTATAGCCAGGTGGCTTTGGCTGCTTTGCGGGGTCCCAGGTCTCAATTTCCAGCAGTCACCAAGAACCAATACAGCTTTCCCCCTTGGATTCACCGCTCACTGTGCCATGTTAAGGGTCCAGGATTCACAGACTCCCGTTATAGGCAGTTGTGGTCTCAGCACGACCTTAAATCCTCTGGGCGCACCTAGTACAGCACAGAAAGGGGCTCAGTGAGTA